AGCACATGTAAGTTTGTGAATGCTCACACTCAAAAGATGAGTAAAATCAAATATTTTTTAAAAGATTATCAGCTTTTCTAATTTCTATCCATCCATCTTCCAGTTCTTGTCCTAATTAAACAGAAACATTTCCTAACAACTATATACAGTTTACCTTTTATCTTCACAAAAAAGTATTTAAACTTCATTGTGTTTCAAGAAAACTGGATAATCATATTATATATATAAAGCACCCCAGACCCTCAAATAATTTCTATGATAACATTTTAGAGAATTTAAAACAATTCTACCTACAGCAATTTACTCTATTTGGCTTGTAACTTTAAAGCTGATCTTCCACATAGGAACTAGAGTGATCCTATTAAAATGTAGTCACACATCGTATCACCACTCTGTTGGTGCCCCTCCAATGGCTTTCCCTCACAACAGAACAAACCTGTTTCCACAATGGTCACAAACACCTACCCAGCTGCCTCCAGCCTCCCCCTTCTGCCTTTCTGAGGCTGTGTCCCCAGTCTTCCCTCTGCAATCCACTGTCCAGCCACAGCAGCTTCCCTGTTGCTTGTTATCACGCCAAACACATCTCTACCTCAGCTCTACACTTGCAGGATTGCAGAAGGGATGCCCTCCACAGCCTAACCACAGCTGACAGTCCACTTAAATATACACATCAATAAACAATGCACCAAAAAGCTAAATCACTTAAATTCTAACAGTATTTAAGAGTTCAGTTCGTCACTGAACTTTTAAAAAAATATTCTATTTATTATTTTATGTGTATGAGTGTATTGCCTGCATGTATGTGAGTGCACCCGTGTAGTGCAATGCCACGGAGGTCAGAAGAGGGCTTCGGATTCCCCTGGAACTGTAGTTAAGGACGGCTCATAGTTGCCATGTGGGTGCTGGGAATCGAACCTGGGTCCTCTGCAAGAGCAGTCAGTGCTCTTAACCGCTGAGCCATCTCTCCAGCCCCTGACATAGGTGTTTTTATAAGGATTTCTTGGGTTGTGGATCCAATTTGAGAAGTAGGTCAAAGGTTATGAAAATGCAAGAGGCTGTGAAGCAAGCAAATAAATATATAATAAAAATAAATAAATAGGCACTAAAAGAGTCTGAAGATGAAGGAGAGGAGAATATAAGCTGCAAACACCACCAGACCCTCCTGCATCCCATCTAGATCCAACCCTACACTCTGAAGGCTGCTTACTACAAGCTATCTGCAACATACTACTTCATGTCCACAGCTTTACATAGTGGCCTCTCAGGGCAATCTTACAGGAACTCTGATTCCTGGTTTACAAGACCAGTGCTCTTGGGGCTGAAGAGCTGGCTCAGCAGCTAAGAGCAATAGTTGTTCTTCCAAAAGACCCGGGTTCAAATCCCAGCACCCACATGGCAGCTAACAACTGCCCGAGACTCCAGTTCCAGGGGATCCAACGCCCTCTTCTGACCTCCTCAGGCATTACATGACACGGCTGCACCTACCTACACGCCAGCATAACAAAAAATTTAAAAAAAAAAAAAAATCCTGGGCATGGTGGCACACGACTTTAATCCCAGCACTTGGAGGTAGACAGAACTCTGTGAGTTCAAGGCCAGCCTGGTCTACATACTGAGTTCCAGATCAGCTGGAGCTACAGGGAGGCCCTGTCTCAAAAAGACCAAAAAGAAAATAGGTTGGGACCACAGAGATGGCTCAGCGGGTAAGTGTCTGCTATGCAAGCAATTAGGACCCAAGCTCAGACCCTCAACACACACTGAAAATGACAAGGGAGAGGGTGAAGGAAGAAAAGGAGAAAGGGGGAGCCAGGTGTGCATCTGTAATCCTAGCATCTGGAGGCAGAAACGATGGATCCCAGGAGCTCACTGGTAGATGATGTCTCAAAAAATAAGGTGAAAAGGGCCTGGAGACAAGGATCAGCAGGAAAGTCAACTGCTGCACAAACCTGAAATCTGAGTTCACACCCATACATTTACCAATAGATCGAACACACACACACACACACACACACACACACACACACACAAACTACAGCTTTTTAAAAATCTCTTATGTTACGCCGGGTGTGGTGGCACATGCCTTTAATCCCAGTACTTGGGAGGCAGAGGCAAGCGGATCTGTGAGTTCAAGGCCAGCCTGGTCTACATATCGAGTTCCAGGACAGCTGGGACTACAGGAAGGGCCTGTCTCAAAAACATTTAAAAAAAAAAAAAATCTCTTACATTTACTCACATCTTGCTCTGCTTATCTCTTCCTGAAAGCCAAGCTATATAACCCAGCAAGTTTCCCCTTCCTCTATACACACTAATATTTTATGTCTTTCTTATAATTATACTCTTCTATACCTTAATCCTTCTGCTAACATGCTTTCTGAAATGTCTCTAGAGCATCTGAGCATACTAGCTGGCACACAATATCTACAGCACTGAGCCCTATCAAGGTAAGCTAGTAATATACACCATTTTATTACACACAGTAATAACAAGCAGTGTATGTTTGGAACCTGACATTGTGCTAACTTTCCAGAAAGCCCTCTCAATTATGTACTATAACCCTAGCCCAGAGCAGTGCCACTGCAATTTCATATATTCAGTATCTTTTTATAATAAGTATTCTATAAAGATTAAGTATCCTTTTATATTCACTTTATTTCTCAACACTTTAGGCTATCAAACTGAATCAGTGTCCTTCATTCTGTGCCTCTGGGCTTTCTATTTAAATATTAATCTTCCTGACAAATCTTCTATTCCTAAATCTCCATACCTTAACCTAAGCTTTTCATTACAGTTAAAAGGATCTTTTTTTTTTGGTCTTTTTGAGACAGGGTCTCCTTGCAGCCCCAGCTGGCCTGGAACTCACTATGTAGACCAGGCAGGCCTTGAACTCACAGAGATCCGCCTGCCTCTGCCTCCCAAGTGCTGGGACTACAGGTGTGTGCCACCATGCCTGGCTACAGTTAAAAAGGATCTTTAATTATGCTTGCCCATACTTCCTACTTAGGAGTCAATCATGCATGCTATTTTCTCTAAGCCAAATTTCCTTTCATTCTGTGTAAAGACCAGTTACATTTTCAAGTCATAATTTGTAGTCTCTCAAACATCTTCCTAGAGGCCTTTCCAAGCAGGATTACCTATTTTAAATTACTGTAGTTATTGTATAGGGAAAAGTTAGTTGCTTAGCATTTCTATCACTGATGATAATCATTTGCTATTCAATTATGTATGTTTACATAAAATATGGTGACTTCTCTTCCATATAGAATATATATATGTATGAAAAGAAATTTGATTCGGTGTTGTGATTTTCAGCATAGCCAACACCTGCAGAAGTGTGGTCATATAAAGCAGAGACTTAAGAGGCAAACTACCTAAGAGCAAATCCTTGTTTTGAGTGGTACCAATAATCTAGGACAGGTTAATATCCATGTACATTGGTTCTATCACTTTACTGAGATTTTTTTTTTAATTACATGAGTTAATATGCATTAATGTTTTGGGGGACAGGGTTTCTCACTGGTCTAGAGCTAGGCTGTGGGCCAGCAAGCTTGAGGGATCTGCCTGTCTCTACCTCCCTAGTACTGGAATTATAAATGCCCTCTACCACACCTGACTTTTTTACCTGGGCTCTGAGGTCCTTGCAAGCATTTTACCAACTGAGCCCTGTTACTCTTATTTCAGCTAAGGATATTGAAACTTTGTAAAACTCTAGTAATTGTCAAATGTCACAAGAATAAATCACAAAGCCAAAAGAGAAACACAGAAGAGAGAGAGAGAGAGAGAGAGAGTGTGTCCCAGGAAGGGAGACAGGAAGGACCCTAAAAAATAAAGGAATGCACTAAGAACTATAAAACAAATGCAATAGAATAAAAGGAAAGTTTGTAATCTAAAAGGGAACCCACACTTACCAACCCAACTATCAATTCAAACTTCCAAAATCAATTCAGACTGCAGGCACTTCAGAGGAGATAAATAACAGAAAAAAACATCTTAGCCCTTCAACTTACACATCCAAACTGCTTAATGATGCCATAAGTTCAACAATGTGACTTTTTCCCCCTTCTTTAAAAATTCTGGCAGTAGATGCTAATGTTTTATATTCCCCATATCCAGGTACTAAATCTATCTTCTTAAACCTTGGTTTGTGTAAAAAGTCAAAAATTGTAGCCAAAAAGTTCATCTTCAATTCTATAAAGTTTGATACCTGGCTCCAACAAAGCTGGCTAGACAATAAGGCTCTGAGACCCTGCTTCATGAACTCGTGCATTCCCAGCTTAAACCTTGTCGAAGGCCCTTAGCTTTGAGACTCAGAAATTATGTTCCTTTACCAGGAATAGGCACAGTTCAAATTAATTTCACCAAACATTTACTCAGTTTCATTTATCTTATCAGTCTTTTTGTCCTGATTTACAAAGTGACTATTACATAGATCAAAGTAGGAAAAGGCATTTTGAGGGAATGAAGGGAATGGGGAAAACCCAACGTAAGCAGAAAGTGTCTGTGGGACAGCTGTACTCTGTAAAACTAATCTTCAGTGTTTAGATGCAGAGCAAAGGATACCAAATTGACTCTCAGAGGACCAGGACGTAAATCTCACAACAGGTGTGCTCTAAATAGGTTAAAGCTATTTACTGAATTTCTAAACTGCCTACTTTGCTCAAAGAATTAAGATTAGACAAAATGCTTTGAAAAAATGCTTTAAAAGATAAAATGCTGTAAACAAGGCCAAGCATGGTGGCACATGCCTTTAATCCTAGCACTCGGGAGGCAGAGGCAAGCGGATCTCTGTGAGTTTGAGGCCAGCCTGGTTTCCATAGTGAATCCAGGACAGCTGGGGCTACAGGGAGACCCTGTCTCAAAAAGACACCCCCCCCAAAAAAAATGCTGTAAACAAAAATGTTACTTTTGCTGTAGTTAACAGCTGCTCCATTGGAAATGAACTTTTAAAATGCACATTTCTGCTATGCTCAACCTCTCATGAACTCATGATAAAGGGTTTTTACCCGTTCTACAGATCGTGCCCTCTTCTTTGGCCGAGTAGGCAGCGCATCTTCCTTCGGATTGGTGTCTATTGCCCAATAGGACCCCTAAAGGTAAAAAAATAAATTATATTAATTGTACATTACAATAAATCTTAAATTATTTACAGAAATGTTTGTAATCATCTGCTCCATAACAAAACATTTTGTAAATGAATACAACAGAAAAAAAGCCTAAGAAATACCATCTGTGTTGGTGGTTCCAGGAGTTGAACCCAGGGCCTCACACATGCCAGGAAAGTTCTCTACTACTGATTATACCCACTTTGAACATTTTCACTTTGGGATTGGGTCTTGTTAAGTTGCCCAAGCAGCTTCAAGCTTGGGGTCTTCCTGCCTTGGCCTCATAAACATCTGAGACAGGTATGCACAACTGTATCCAAAAACACTAGTTTTGAACTGAGAAAAGTAAAATCTGAATGAGAAAAAGTCTACTTATAACCAAATTATTAAAGAGGGAAGAGGGAAAAAGATCATAAACTCAAATACTCAAGACCAAAGATTTCTGCTGTGACTAAATTAAGATAGGAAATGAGGGGGCTGGAGAGATGGCTCAGCAGTTAAGAGTATTGGCTGCTCTCGCAGAGGACCTGGGATTAAATTCCCAACACCCACATGATGGCTAACAACTGTTCACAGCTCCAGTTCCAGGGGATCTGACATCCTCTTCTAACCTCCTCAGGCACTGTATGATACCAGTGCACTTACAAACGTGCAGGCAATACTACACTCATACACATAAAGTAAGAAAATAATAAATAAAATACTTTTAAAAAGAGAGATGAGAGAGGAAATAAACAGCCAAATACACGCCCCCCCCCATTCCAAGCATTTTTGAACACGTGGATAGTTAGTGGCACTGTTTTGGGAAGGTCATGGATCAGCTGGGAGGTGGGCCTTGCTTGTTAGAGGAGCACATCACTGGGGACAGGCTTGACAGTTCATAGCCATGCCCCACTTCCAGTTTCTTTTTCTTCACTTCCTGTGCCTGCTCGAAAATGAGTGCTCTCAGCTTTCTCCTCCGGCGACCTGGATCCACTCTTCCGTCTGAGTTCCCTTGGTCATAATGCTTTATTATTTATTAAAGGTAAATAATACAACATGTAACTAATTCTTATTTATTATTTTTAAATATGTGTATTGTGTATGTGGTGCAAGCACGTGAATGTGCACATGCGGGTATGCATGTCCAAGCACACATGTGGCAGTGGAGGGAGAAAGTCTTCCTCTATCCTTTCTACCTTACTGTTTTGAGACAGGGTCTCTCACTGAACCAGTGAGCTTTTGAGTGTCTCCACCTCCCAATATCAGGATTATAGGCATATGCAGCCATACCCAGCTTTTTAAAAAAAATTTTATCTATTATTTTTATTTTATGTGTATGCGTGTATTGCCTGCATGTAGGTAGGGCACCTGTGTCATACAATGCCTACAGAGGTCAGAAGAGGCCGTCGGATCCCTTGGAACTGAAGTTACGGACAGTTGTTAGCTGCCATGTGGGTGCTGGGATTAGAACCCAGGTCTTCTGCAAGAACAACCAGTGTTCTTAACCACTGAGCCATCTCTCCAGCCATACCCAGCTTTTTATGTAGGTGCTAGGGATTCGAACTGAGTCATGCTTGCAGAGTAAGAACAATCTTAACCCTAAATAATTCCCCAGCCCCTGTAATTAAATCTTAATAATTACACTGTATGACATTCAAACCTAAAGTATTTTACATACAAAGAGACTGTAGTTTCTATACTGAGATCTCACAAATCTCTGAATGAAAGAGAAAAAAAATTACAAAGACAAACCACCTAAACAGAGTTTATGTAAGGGCATCCTGAGAAGTAATGGTCTGCACACAAATCTTTTATTGCTTATAAATTCTTTGCTTTAAGTTTTCCTCTTCTTCATTTATAAGTATGTATTAAGCATCAACAACATTTCAGGCCCTCTAGAACTGTGCCTGAATACAGAGTATACAAATCATGCATTTTTCACATGTTAAACAGATGAGGAGACCAAAGCTCAGAAAGACAAAGTCATTTTTGCAATCAAGCATGAGAGACAGGACCAAAACATGCCTTGATCCTTAGCTCTGGTTCTCCCTACTTTATCCTGCCTTTATATATGCATGCATACACAATGTGGGCACACACACATACATACATGGGGGGGGGCAAAAAAGCAGGGAATGAGAAAGGGAAAGAGTGAGAAATAGGCATTTTAGAAACAGTAATAAAATGCAAATCCCAGATTTACATATACTTAGTTGCAGTAATACTATTCAAACTTAGTCCTTCCTTCTTGTATTTCATTAATGCTCCTAGGCAGGTTTGTTCCTGCAACACATGATAATAAAGGAAAAGACAGCTCTGCTTTATCAATCTTCATACTTGAGCCTGGCATGAATTTTAGTTTCTTTTTTTAAAAAATCATTTTATTTTATTATTCCGTGCACATGGTTGGCAGCTGTGTGCCACAATGTGCATGCCACAGCACATGTAGAGGTCAGAGGACAACTTTGTGGGATCGATTTTCTCCTTCCACCTTTATGTGGGTACTGCATATGGAACTCAGGTTGTCAGGCTGGCACAGCTGACCTATTTTGTTGCTCCCTTTTTTGAGACAGGATGGTAGGTGCCTCCACACCCAATATATGCTTTACTAGAGAGCAAACTCAGGACTTTGTGCATGCTAGACAAGCATTCTACTAACTAAGCTATACCCCCAGCCCGAATTATCAGTTTCATGAACCCTGCCTTAGATGGTGCATCTGGACCCTGCTTTAGATGGTGACTTCACTGTCTGGATTGTCCACTCTACCACTAACCTACCATATTCTACCTTCACAGTTTACTTCAAATACTAAGAGAATCTCTGTTCCTGCCATACCAACAATTTACCATTCTTTCTCTGTAACATTTCTGTATTTTTATGTTTGGACCACTGACTATACTTAACATTACAATTTTGTTTGAGTCTGTAGCCAGGGAGCTGGAGAGATGGCTCAGTGGTTAAGAGCACTGGCTGTTCTTGCAGAGAACCCAGGTTCAGTTTTTAGCACCCACATGGTGGCTAACAATTATTTTTAAATCCAGTTCCAGGGCATCTGATGCCCTCTTCTGGCCTCCACTGGCATTGCATGAAAATGGTGTACTTACAGGCAATACTCAAACATATAAAATACAAATAAATCATTTTTATATTTTATTTTACTACTTTTATTTTCTAATTATTTCATTTTTTATGTGTATGTGTGTATTGCCTGTATGTACATAAGTGCACCCATGTTGTGAAATGCCCTCGGAGGTCAGAAGAGGGCATCAGATCCCCTGGAATTGGAGTTATAGTTGGTTAGCCACCATGTGGGTGCTGGGAATTGAACCCAGGTCCTTTGCAAGAGCAGTCAGTGCTCTTAACCACTGAGCCAGCTCTTCAGCCCCTTTATTCTTTTATGTGAATGAGTGTATTGCCTCCATGTGTGTTACTGCACCCGTGTTGTGCAATGCCAGCAGAGGTCAGAAGAGGGCGCTGGAGTCCCCTGGAAGTGGAGTTATGGAAGGTTATTAGGCACCACATGTGTGCTGAGACTTATATCTGGGTCTTCTGCAAGAGCAGTCAGTGATCTTTACTGCTGAGCCACCTCTCCAGCCCCATAAATAATTTTTTTTTAAATGAGTCTGTAGTCCTTTCTAAGTTGTGCACACCTTACAGCAAGAGCAAGAACTACTTTATTTGTTTCTGTAATTACAGTGCCAGGTACAATGCAAGTACTCAGGCCTAGACTGTAACATAATGGAAAAGAAAAAAATGTTCAACAAACTATGCCAAGAATTTGAGTGTAGAGAGTATGACAGCAGGACTTCTCACACTAGTAGTCTACGCTGGCCCACTGCTCTGATCTCCCAGCTACTGCCGGCATATACCTCTACACTACTCTTTCAAAGGTCACTGCTTTTCAACTAACGAGCCTTCCAGATCTCATATAAATTTGACAAGAACCATGTAAAACGCAGATGCTCCCGAAAGCACACATTACTACCTAACTGAACTTCTGATAATTAAATGCATGATATTTCAATCTAAAATCATTTCCTATATTAATACCATATAGTTTCTGCACCCTAGGACCTTGAAAATCCAGGTGGCAAGCAAAACAGTTTACATAATTTCACAAGTAGATTCAACTAGTAAATTTCAAAATAAAGTAGAAAAAAATCTTATGGAGTTGTAATGAGAACTATAACAAAACACACTAGATAATACATAGGAGTCAATAATTCTACCACTGAGCCACCAATAAATACACCCTGTATTGATACTTTAAAAATCAGTGTGCTGTACAGTCAGTTGTCAACTTGATATACACCCAGGAAGAAAGATGCCAGAGAGATGCCAATTTCTTAACTGCTAAGTGATCTGTGAGGACCCAGTTCTACCTCTGGGTAGGTGGTCCTGGATTGTGTAAGAAAGCAGGTTGAGCACAGACCAGAGGGGCAAGCCAGTAAGCAGCAGCCCTCCATGGTCTCTGCTTCAGTTCCTGCCTTGGCTTCCCTTGATGATGGACTGTGAGTTGTAAGTCGAATAAACCCTTTCCTCCCCAAGTTGGTCTTGCAGTGTTTTATCAGAGCAAGAGAAGGGTAACTAATGCAACCAGTGTTTACGGAAATAATAAATTCCAGTATTTAGTTTGGATGACTGTGTATATATTTATTAAATTAAGGAAATCAATGTTCTTTCTTTAGATTAACTTACAATAAATCATTTTTAAAAATCAACTTTACTGTAGCATATTGTAATGCATTTGTTTAAAGCATATAATTCAAGAAATCTTGAGAACTGTACACCTCCTGTAAGCAACACCAAAATCAAAATACAGAACAATCTCTTTGCCCTAAAAACTTGCCCAGCAAGTAATGCTTCCCTTGCCCCCGACCCCCGCCACATCCCATACTATCAGAAGTCTGCTTCCTAGCATTACAGATTAATGTTGCCTTTTCTAGACCCTTATAAATGGACTCAAATGTCAGGCTATTTTCCACTCTTGTGTTATAAAATT